ATTTCCAAGACCTCGTAGGCTGATGGCTGGAAAGTGTCCCTTTCCTGTCCATATCGGAATTGCATGTTGTAATTCGGGCGGCTGGCAACTGCCCCTGGGTGGTTTTCTGGTTTCCATCGCTGTCGATAAGGGCTACATCTCGCATCAAGCTGAGAGTGGGCCAAGGCATGAGTGAGGATCATCTATGTCACCGCTTGTAAGCTGCACTACTCCGCACAAGCCGAGTAGATCCTGGCCTCAAAGAAGTATGGCTTGAGTGAGTCCTGGCTTGAGCCCCTCGTGCCTTTTGCTTTTTGGCCTAACGATACTGAGTAGTTGCAAAAAGGATAGCGGCATGCATTCGTTGCTTCCCTCTTTCGGGGTGAGTCATTGGCTATGTGATCCACCAAACCTGTTTGCCGTCACCATGGAAGGGGACCTTCCTCTCTGTCAGTGGTCGGCGGCTCCTCTATTCATCCTATCATGGCTGTTCATCCGGTACATGAACTCCTGGGTCTCCGTTTCTTCCACAGAGTCTTCCTCCTCATTGTCCTCTGCTTCAGGCTCAGGACTTCCGCTGTCGTGGCGATGTGGATCATTTCCATCTCGGTGGCCATCTCTTCCACCGTCGCCTCCAGTTGCAGCCATCGCCCCATGTCGAGGGTCCCGCCGAAGTTGAGGACGAGCTTTAGGTCGTAAGGCCATCTGCTCGTTTTGATCCCTGTTGGTTTCGTCGTAGTGCACCTCTTGTATCTCAACTTCTGATGTCTCCAGGATCTCATCCTCTGAGGTGCTCGACAGGGTTCTCGACGGTGAAGGTACCCTCGGCGTTGATGGTGGAGTTCCCCCACATATTGGTCCAGCACCAGCCAGTCTGAGGATTCCCTGTAGGAGAGATTCTCCAGCGCCTTCTCCTCCACCTGGTTGTTGTTCCGGTTGTGGTGTAGGAACTTCTCGTTGAGGCGGACTTACTGTCCTTGCTGGTGGCTGTGTCGGCATTCCTGCTTTGGCTCTTGACTTAGCCATTGCCATCGCCAAGTCATGCCGTACCACATCGCCTGGTGTGCGAAGATCCATTTCAGGTCCACCTCGCCATCTGTTCAGCCACTGCGTTGCCTCTTCCAGCTCTTCTTGCGTCCGGTACCGCACCGGCCCAAGATCCAGCGACATGCTTTGTTGTGCTGGGGCTTGCCCTTGTAGTCCTGGATGAAAGCCTTGAGGTCCTCCTGGAGGTACTTGTTGTTGTTGCCCTCCACATCCAGGCCAAAAACCTTGTTGTCCTTGGGGTCCATATGGTCTATTTTGACCATGCTGCCTCTCCATACTCCAGCATATCCATGCGGAGGTGGTGCCGGCAAATCCGGCGGTGGCATCCCATGCTTCGTCTCCTTTTGGACTGTTTTGGCCTTTTTGCCCTGCGGCTGTTCTTCATCCTTCTTGGGCTACTTAGCTTCTGAGGAGGAGGGGGGCCTGCGGACCCTTTCATGGAGGGTCGCCCTCTGCTTGGCGTGATGAGACCGACCCGTGACTTGGGATGCTTCGCATGGGATGTGGACGAAGGGCCTGCCCTGATGCATCATACATGGCGCCAAAGGATGTTATTCCTTGCATTGTGCAACTTGGTGCCTGCCAATCTCTTTATTGATGAGCTTTCGCCGATGAGCATTCACCGTGTAAGAACGGAATTTGCTGCACAGGAACTGCCAACTCACTGCGGGAATGTTGGTGCCCAATGGCACTGGAGAATGGCTCTCGGATTGAGGAACTATCGTGTGAAGATTGGATTGATGATTAGACGGCTGAGGAGCACATCTGGGTGTAAGAGGCTTGCTTCGCGATAGCATCTGATTTGTGTTCCTTTTTGGTTTTTGTTCCGGTTGTTTCGTGTTTTTTGTTTTTTGCTTTGTGATGTTTTCGGAGACTGTCTCACCCGTTTCACGTTTATCAGTCATTCTATTACTCTGACCTTGGCCTTAAGAGCCTCGTAGGCAGAATCCGTGCAAAAGAAACCACACCTGCTAAATCTAAATGAGGAACCAAAAAATTTGAACCTGGCGCCAAGACAACATTCGTGGGCTGTCTGCCAAAGTGATGAAACTTTGGAATCAAGGGAGGGTGCTTCCTTTATTGCTTTCTTTGAACAGATATCGCTTGGTCGTGAAGTCTGAGAGGAGCCTGCAGGGGTCACGAGACTTGACGACCTTCAACAAACATTCTGGGGGAGGACCATCTGACACCCCATAGCTCACGCGATGGTCATTTTGACACGTTGCACTCAGATCCGTGTAGACATGTAGGGTTCCCAGCCATCGTTTTCTTTCGTGTTGAGCCATGACAACACGCAAGCGTGAAAAACCACTTTCTCAAGATTGTTGTATGCCCGCGAGGCTTCTTCTGAATGTTGAAGTGTCAGCTGAATAAGTGCCACCCATACCCAGCTGTCTGCAAGATTCTCAACGCTAACCGCTATTCCCCTCCGGGCGCAGAAAACGAGAATCTCCACTGTCAGGGCAGACAACTTGTTGGCACTGGTCACCTTTGCTTGGTGAAAGTCACTAAAATTTGGCACAAGCAAAGGATGGGAAACCAACCGAAGTGGAGGGAACTTTGGTGACCCTTGAGCAACTAGAAACTGAGCCACCGGCCTTTGTCTCGCAAGACTGGCCGTTCCACATGGAAGTTCCATGTGAATGCCAAACAAACTAGGTGATGCAATGATGTCCCATGAAGTGGCTGATCAAATATTTCGCCCGCTGCTTGCTACTTTATGGTCACCTTGGTTCGCACCTCAAGCTTCAGCCCAAGGTGCCGGGACTCGGATCCAATCCCAAAATTCAACGGTATATTGTGGAGGGCGCACGGGATGGTGCAGCAACACCACATTTCCACACTGGGCGATTTGATGCAGGACGGGCAGTGTATTGATATGTATTCTGGAGATTGTGATGTTGTATGTTGCCGTTTTCACACGGATGTTTATACATATCCATCTTCTGGGGATTTCTGAGTTGGAGCGAATTTATTGAATTTCTGTTTTGGAAATCTTTTGAGATGTTCTGAGATTGTTTCGGACTGCATTGCAGGTTTGTGAAGCATTAGAAGTTATTAAACACACGTTTGGAGACATGAAAATGCTGATTTGTGTTTGGTCGCGGGTAGGTGATTGTTTGGTGACCCTTACAGTGTCGTGGGTTTTCTCCGAGATGACTTGAGGCAACCCATGAGAAGACCCAAACTCGAGAATCGAATTCATGGCACAATTGACTTGTAGTGGTCAAAATTTGCATGTTGGATAGGTGTGGCAACAAATCTCGAAATCTCGAAAAAAATGTGTTGCCATGACACTCATGTGCAGTTGGTAGGTTTTAGGCAGGTGGAAACGATGCTGAGAAGATTAGCATGACCAATGTTTGCTACAAAGATGACACGCACAATCAATGTGCTCGTCGGCCCAACACGTGGCTCAAAGGTGAGAAAGGTGAGCACAAGAAAACAAGGTTTGGGTGCTCTGCCATTATTTGAGAATATAGATCTACATAGAAGGTCCTGGCGCTGCAGTTGCGATCATGTCTGGCCTCACCTGTTGTTGTTCCATAGTTAGTGTTGTTTGTATCTGGTACATTGATTTCCTACCTCCACACTGTTTGGGGTCTCTTGCCATAATTTTGGTGGGGATGTCGACCGTTTCCGTGGGCAATGTATGCTTTCACACATGACTGACATCACCGATGTTGAGAATTCACACACTTTCCGATGTCGTGAATCGTGTTTTTTTGAGTGTGATGTCGCAGATGCTGAATTTTTTTTTTGACTGTTTCTATCAGTTGAGACAATATGTGACACCACAAGACGACATGCTTGGCAGTCAGAATGGCTATAGTCAAAAATGGCGCGTTACAAATGCGATGGGCGAGGATTCAAATGCAACATATGACAAACCAATGGAGCCAGCATGTGTGACGTACCCAAGTATTTCTGAACAACCAGATGTGCGAATGCTCAAACCCCGGGGCAGGGAAACTGAATCAATTTGGACCAGTGGTGAAACCATAAAAGGAACGCTTGGTAAACCCAGACATCCGCTCTTCAATTTTGTTTTTGGTGTCGAAAGTTTCCAGAGCCTTGAGGTCTGCGGGTGTGGTGCAGCACATAGAAGCCGGAAGTACGTCCGTCTGTTGGCAGCATCTAGACGGTATTTGGTGCAGCGAAATCAGACAGATCGGATTTCGTGAGATTTGTGCGAACACGCAGCTCAGAAACCAGTGGACAAATTATAAATTGTAGTTGTTTTTGTGGCATCTTCCCATGCATTGTCAATTTTTGGAACAGTTTCTTCTAATTTTTTTTTACCATGATTTTGAACCAAAGAACATATTTATTCTTTGTTTTTGCACAACGTTTTGCAATCAAAACCAGGTTTAATGTTTTAGTTTTATGAAAATTGGACCGCTTGAGGCGACTGTGGTATCGTCCATAAACCAGATCTCCTCTCAATCACAACACTTTTGACCTGACAGGAACATCAGGATATGATCACCGCAGACCTTTTTGGCTATAGTGGCTATAGGTACCTGCCACAAAAAAAAAAATTGCAGGTTGGAAAAATTGACAATTTGCAATGTTTGTGTGGAATGGCATTTGTTTGATTGTTGTCCATTCGGTGGTTGGAACTAAAAACTGGGATGAATGGTACTTGGTCACTCCTCGTACTTATTCTTAGATTTCCAGTGAAATGTCAATTGTAGATTTGTCCCTGCCGTTTTCCTCTCTAAGACGCCCAAAATTTTGAAACATTACAAAGTAGAATTTCAATTTCCCGGTTGCCCTGATGCAAAGGGACGCGCAGCCGAGGCGCGGTGGGTACCTGCCGCAAAATCCCCCAAACAAAGCTGTTTTGGGTATTGAAATGCTTCGGGCCCCCATGGGCCCCCAAATCCACCCTGGTGTCGTGTCCAGCTTTTTGGCTCCCCACGGCAACCCCGCCCGCCATGATGCAGATCATCCCAGCCCCAATGGCCACCATGGCCATTCCCATGGGACCGATGGGCACGATGGGCACGATGGGACCGGTGCAGGGAGCGATGCCAGTGGGCATCCATGGCATCCAGTGTCAGGTCTTGGTGCCTGTAGCCATGGTGAGTTTCCCCGTGTCCCCAGCTCCATCCACAGTGGCCTCTACCTCGGTTGGCTCTGAGACCGGGTCAGAAGGACTGCTTGATACTGCCTGGGTTGCGGAGAACGGGATGTACCCCACAAATGGCGGGTTTAACGCGACATTTCGTGATCACCGATTTTTCGAGTAACCGATTTTTGGGCAAATCCATATACACACATGCATCATATCGACTTATTTACCATGCTTCTTCCCTACCACCCTAGATCCTTCATTGCTTGGGAGTAGCATCCTTTTTGGGCTTGATGGCCATGCAACCGGGCAACCCGGAGCCTTGGAGGAATGATTTCAAGGCAGAGTTCGGAATTGGTCTCCGAAACCGACGGCACCCCAGCCTCGCCCGAGCAACGTGACGTGGCAGCGAACCTCACCGGGGGCAGTGGCATCTTTGGATGCGTGTGGGACCTGTCCCAGCGATCCAAGGGCTGTCGCCACGTGCAGGAGAAGGGGACAACCGGCGGTGCTACTCAAAACTAGACCAACTAAGTGAAGGGTCGGTGTGTCGTTTCTCCAAAAATGGGTTCAACCTCCAACATATTCGAATAAAAATAACGTTCTTTTTCATGGGGACAATGATGATAGACTTGATAAACATAACATTTGGGGTACCACATTTCCGGACAAATCCATATTTTTTAATATGTTCAGCCAAGTACTGCACATCCTGTATCCTAGGCCTAGGTGGTAATTGGATAAACACTATGAAACATAGTATATATATAATATATAATATATAATATATAATATATAATATATAATATATAATATATAATATATAATATATAATATATAATATATAATATATAATATATAATATAATATATATATATATATATATATGAATCATATACATGTACACACATATATATCTATATGTTTAGTATATAGATGTGGATATCAAGTTGTAACCGTCTAGAACGGACTAAACTAACAGCATAGTTCGAAAGAAATGAGGACTTCGTCCAGTTTCCTGGCAATCCTCGGCAGGAGATGTTGCAAAGTTGTGGAGATTTGGAGCGTTCCCAGCTGTCCCTAGAGCTCAAGGGACATGTGTGGCAGGCGGCACGCTCTGCCTGTGCCAACTACGTTTTGCAGAAGTTCATCCAAGTCTTGCGTCACTGGAAAAAGCCTAGACTTCGGGAGTTGGTAAGAAAGAAGGGGCTGCAATAAACATGAGACTTTCACTGGTTGACATTGAGCAGATTGAGTAGCTTAGTGGTTTGTTTTTTTTTCCAGATTTTTTAAGGCAGAATAAAAAAACCAGGGATCTGGCTGCAATTCTCGTGACCATTGAGGTGATTTATCTTAGCTGAAGATGGATGAGGGTTAACTTAGGGATCTTCTGTTAAGGCAAGGATCTTACGGCTTGAGTTTGATTGACGATTTCTGTACCTGACACCCCGGAAAAAATGGGTGCAATCCTCCTAATGAAGGATTTTTTTCCCGGAGATGACATGGAAAAATGTTTTGCAATGGAAGAAGGTATAGCCATGGAGGATATTTTTCAGGGCGAAGGGTTGGGATGGTTGGCCATTTTGGATTGACACTGGCCGAATTTTGGAACGGTGAGGACGTTTCTACCCCATCTCTGGTTTGAGGACGTTTTTTTTTTGCCAAAAAATCCTCCAACTCATGAAGATGGCCATGAAGATGGTGACCATAGTGACCTTCAAAATTTGGGAGTCCCCCAAGATATGAAATATGAAATTCAAATATCAACATATGAAACTCCCTAAACCCCATACCATTCCGCCATGGTTTCGATCGAGGGAATGGACCCAATGGATTACACAATTTCCCGTACTTTTTTGTCGGTTTCAAGTCGCTTCGGATTGTTAGTGACATACCCAAATTTTGAAGAGTTGCCTAAAGGTTGTTGCATCTCCCAGTTTATCCCCAACAAAAGACGCTGATTTGGGTGATTTTTGGTGATTGATAAGCCGTAGGTCCCTTGATTGGCTGATCTGAATCCACATTTCCAGGTTTGCAGGTTCACTACCCTGCATTTGGGTGTGTTCCAAAACAGTAGGTCAATCATTCGTTTCCCGAACAGAAGGAATAGCTATTTTATCAGACACATCCATCCATCATAATTGTGGGTGATATCCTACAGGATGGGGCCCCCAAGATAGCTAAGTACAAGTGGCTTCACTATGGTTTATGGTATATATAACGAACTAGTTAATGGGGATTATTTCATGGTTTATAAACCAACTTACAACTGGGGGGGCCCATCCAGAAAATCATATCTTCACAAAATCCCATGGACTTCCAGTAGATCCTCTTTCATCCTCATTGGAGCCTAGGACCCCAAGCCTGTCAGTTCATCATTGATGAGCTGCTTCAGCAAAAGAACGAAGTCACAGATCTGGCCCGTCATCAGCAACTGAACGAGATCGTGAAAAGGTATATAAGGTATATATATATGTAATATGTATCTGTATATACATACATATATATATGCCCAAACATATATATATATATATGTTTGGGCATTGAAAAAAGGGTGGAACCATAGAAAAAAGGTGTTGTTGTTTAATTGTTTTTTTTTAATGATTTTATAGGCAATGAAGATGGGATTCTAGCCGTCATTGACCAATTCTTGTGGTGCATAGCACGATGGGCCAACTGACTTGAGAATCCCATGGAGGTTTCCTAATGGTACCCCAAAATCATTAAAAAATAAAATCTCCTACTCCTAAGCCATCCAGCTATTGGGGTACCTCCATTTATGGAACCCCCCCTTCTATACAGTATACATTATATATATATACACATGTGTGTCTTGGATTGTATTGTTAAGGACCCACAGCCACTATGATCGATGACCCAACACAATAGTTGATCTAACTATAGTTCACTACCCAACACGAACACAATTGATATGGCCATGATCTATAATGATATCACTAACTATAACCAACACAATAGTTGATGATTGCTGGTTATGATTACAGTAATGGAGCGGATTATCACGGGATACTGTATGTTGAAATCCCCTTTTACAGCCCAGCAACCAGGGTTCTAACCCAGGTGATGCCATGGCCATGATGCTATTGATTGTAAATGGGTTAGGACGGGTATAACTACAACCCAATAGTTGATGGTTGGTAGTAGAATATTGTATTATGAGCCATTATATAATGGCTATAGAATGGTCTGAGACCAATTTTGCAACCAGCTTGACCATGAGTTTTTAAGAGAATTTCTAGCAATTTGCACCAGGACAATTATAATCAACCACGAGTTGTTTTTAGCTTTATCCTAAATTTGCAGGTACCAATCCCATTTGGGGCCAGGTGTGGAATCCTCTATTGGAATTCATGATATAATGTCTGTACTATGGGAAATTAATAAGTATAAGATAAAAAACTATATATAAAATGGATACACTACTTTATTTTCAGAAAAAGATCCCCAATTTTATTTTCTGGCGATCAAAAAAATCTGCCGAAGGTATGGCTGTCGGATTCTGCAGCGTTTGTTGGAGAATTGCCACGTCGAGCAGATGGAGCCTGTTGTGAAGCTCTTACTGTCTGAGGCCGACAGGGGCTGTAATTCGATCGGAAAATGGCTTGTTTTTGTTTCATAATCCAATTGGAATATGTGCAATAGAAAACACCCATGGTTGATTTTGTTTTGAAACTGAAAAATTGGATTGGTTTTTTGGGGAGAATATTTTTTCGCTGGAAATCCTTCTGTACATGTTTTCACCATCAATATGGGGCCATGCGGGTTTGAAAAAATCTTTCGATCCAATGAGCCGACCGAAAAAGTCGAATGTTGGTGACTTCAGGGGCAAACCCAGCGTGATCCCGATAGAAGTTCACCATCTAAGCTACAGCCTAAAAGTTCTATTTTTAGACAGACATGTATATAGATGACATATATCATATATCATTCATATGGATGGTGAAGTGTTTTTCATATATAAATATATATGTGTGTTCTCATCTCTTCCCCACTGTTGCTGTTGTTCTCATCTCCACAGTGTTGCTGGTTATTTGGGCTTCTAGCTGTCTGCTTTTTTGAGGCGATGACATTGGTTCGCCACAGCTATGGGACCTTTGTGATGCAGGTCATCTTCGACTTTGGGACTGAGGAGCCTGTCAATTTCCAGCAAATTCGACCAGAGAAAAAGAGACATGAAGAATAACTTTTGTTTAAAGCAAATTGAAAGTTACAAAAATTACATAAGTTACATAAGTTAAGTTAATGATATTCAACTTTACCTCTGTCACCCCTCCTATTTTTTGAAAAGTTTTATCCTAGCGAAGTCTTCAGGACGGGTTGAAGCCCCAATTTCTGGAAAAAAATCGCATCGAAAAATCGGAAAATGAACCACTGGAATGGGGTTCCCATTTGGTTCAGGTTGATGTTCCTTGAACTCTCCGTCCCTGTTTAGAATATTCCACCCTGAATACATCACGAACATCTTTGTGGGATCGGTTGAAGTTCCCCAAAACCGGAAAAACACCAGCTTGGTGGGCGGCCTTTGGAACCTTTTGGAAAGTGTAGCAGGTGATTTCTATGTGGACCAACAACTTTGCACATCTTGTAATCATTCCAACAGCAATGACATAATAATGATAGTGCTAGTGATAACAACATATATATATACATATATATATATATTAATGACAGTGTAATGTTTAGAATGATGATCGTTCATCAGAAAAAAACATCATCTGAATAACAATGAGAAACAAACATAGTAGATTTATCATACCCATCTATCCATCCATCCAACCATCCATCCATACATCTACCGTATCTATCCATCCATATATACCGACGGACCGAAAGTTAGAATGACGTGCTTTCCACCAATTTTGTTCCATTGAAAGTTAGAATGACGTACCAAAATGGACGTAGAAATTCTACTAAAATTCTACCTTTCAGTCTGTATTATGCTGGTAAATGTGGATAAAAATGTTCAAAAGTTGTTTGATCAAACTTGCCTACCTGTTGTGCCGGGGCCACCAAACCTTTATCTTTTTGTAGGGTTAGAATGCCTCCGCAGCATATGCCCCCAAAACATCTGAATTCTATATAGATGTTAAATATGTGAGCATATATATATACTGTATATATAATTTATACCCTGTATCAACCAAATCACTGTAAAAAACTGGTCGAGGTATCAAAACCCGGTTTTGAACTAGTTTTTGCAAAAAAAAAGTTTTGGTCAACAAAACCAGGTTTTTGATGAAGCAGCTTCGCCACAACCCGGTAAAAACTCATCAAAACCCATAACCCGTAAAAAACCGTAGTCCAAAACCGACCAAAAGCCTTGTTTGCCAGGGCCACCAAACCTTGTTTTTTGTAGGGTTAGAATGCCTCCGCAGCATATGCCCCCAAAACTTCTGAATTCTATATAGATTTAAAATAAATAAATGAAATCTTGGTCCCCAATTACGGTTGAGATAGGTACTTACCACAGTTTGATATCATCATCATATATCCTACATCAACCAAATCCCTGAAAAAAGCGGGTCGAGGTATCAAAACCTGGTTTTGAGCTAGTTTCTGCGAAAAAAACAGGTTTTAGTCAACAAAACCAGGTTTTTGATGAAGCAGCTTCGCCACAACCCGTAGAAAACCGTCCAAAACCTGTAAAAACTCATCAACACCCATAAAAGCCCTTAAAAAACCGTAGTCCAAAACCGACCAAAAGCTTGGTTTGCCGGGGCCACCAAACCTTGTTTTTTGTAGGGTTAGAATGCCTGAGCATATGCCCCCAAAACTTCTGAATTCTGTATATATATATATTAAGTAAATAAATGAAATCTTGTTCCCCAATTACGGTTGAGATAGGTACTTACCACAGTTTGATATCATCATCATATATCCTACATCAACCAAATCCCTGAAAAAAGCGTGTCGCGGTATCAAAACCTGGTTTTGAGCTAGTTTCTGCGAAAAAAACAGGTTTTAGTCAACAAAACCAGGTTTTTGATGAAGCAGCTTCGCCACAACCCGTAGAAAACCATCCAAAACCTGTAAAAACTCATCAAAACCCAGAAGAACCCGTAAAAAACCGTCGTCCAAAACCGATCAAAGCTTTGTTTGCCGGGGCCCCAAACCTTGTTTTTTGTAGGGTTAGAATGCCTCCGCAGCATATGCCCCCAAAACTTCTGAATTCTATATAGATCTTAAATAAATAATGAAATCTAGATGTGAGTAAACGACGTGTTCTTGGATCGGCGGATGACGATATTGCATTTTTCTGCATATTCTGACAATTTTATTGATCCTTTTTTTTGCTGTTCATGAGCATGTTTTTTGGCGAATACCTGCATATTCTACATATTTAAATACGATATGGCATTTTTCTGCACATCATGACAGTGTTTATTGTTCATGAAAAGATTTGTTTGCAATTTGCATGCATATTCTTCATATTTGCAATACATGGAAGACACGGGACGGTCAAAAATTCGTCAAGAATTTTGGAGTTTTAGGGGTTTCAGGACTAAATAAATAGGGTTAGAATGCCCGTCGGGGATTTTCCCACGGTATTCCCCACGAAAATGAAATGTTGATTAAACAGGACGGTAACCTCCGAAAACGGCATTACACACAGACGATGTTGCATTTTTTTTCATATTCTGTCATTTTTTATTGATTATGTTTTTTTGCTGATCATGAGCATGTTTTTTTGGCCCATACATGCATATTCTACATATTCATAATACGATATTGCATTTTTTTCTGCATATTGTGACATGTATTATTGGTCATGGGTAGATTTGTTTGCAATTTACATGCATATTCTGCATATTTGCAGTACATGGAAAAGACGGGACGGTCGAAATTGCGCCAAGAATTTTGGAGTTTTAAGGGTTTCAGGCCTAAATAAATAGGGTTAGAATGCCCGTCAGGGATTTTCCCACGATATTCTCCACGATAATGAAATGTTGATTAAACAATATCAAACAGGACGGTAACCTCCGAAAACGGCAGTATATATGTGCTGTATATATTACACACACATATAAAGATATATGTATACATGTACATGCATATTAGATGTGAGTAAACGAGGTGTCTTGGATCGGCGGATGACGATATTGCATTTTTTCATATTTTTTCTGCATATTCTGTTAATTTTAGTATAAAATTTAGTGGTCATTATTTTTGTTGCTGATCATGAGCATGTTTTTTTTGCGAATACCTCCATATTCTACATATTCAAAATACGATAGTCCATTTTTCTGCATATTGTGACATGTATTATTTGATCATGGGTAGATATTTTTGCAATTTACATTCATATTCCTCATATTTGCGCTACATGGAAGACACGGGACGGTCGAAAATTCGTTAAGAATTTTGGAGTTTTAGGGGTTTCAGGACTAAATAAATAGGGTTAGAATGCCCGTCGGGGATTTTCCCACGGTATTTCCCACGATAGTGAAATGTTGATTAAACAGGATGGTAACCTCCAAAAAGGGCATTATACACAAACGATGTGGCATTTTTCCAATATTCTGTCATGTTTTATTGTTCATGTTTTTTTTGCTGATCATGAGCATGTTTTTTGGCAAATACTGTATATTCATGTATATTCTGCATTTTGAAAATAACAATACGATGTTGCATTTTCTCTGCATATCATTACAGTGTTTATTGTTCATGGAAAGATTTGTTTGCAATTTACATGCATATTCTGCATATTTGCAGTACATGGAAGACACCGGACGGTCGAAAATGTGCCAAGAATTTTGGAGTTTAGGAGTTTCAGGACTGAATAAATAGGGTTAGAATGCCCGTCGGGGATTTTCCCACGGTATTCCCCACGATAATGTAAATGCTGATAACAGGATGGTAACCTCCAAAAAAGGCATTATACACAAACGATATTGCATTTTTCATCATTTTTCTAATACTCTGTCATTTTTTGTTGATCATGTTTGTTTTTGCTGATCATGAGCGTGTTTTTTGGGCGAATACCTGCATATTCTACTTATTTATAATACGATATTACATGTTTTCCTCATATTAGAACATTGTTTATTGTTCATGGAAAAAATGTTTGCAATTTACATGCATGTTCTGCATATTTGCAGTACATGGAAGACACGGGACGGTCGAAAATGCGCCAAGAATTTTGGAGTTTTAGGGGTCTCAGGACTAAATAAATAGGGTTAGAATGCCCGTCGGGGATTTTCCCACGATACCCCACGATAATTACATATTGATTATAAACAGGACGGTAACCTCCGAAAATGGCATTATACACACATATACATGCGCTGTATATATTACATATAATATGTAGATGTGAGTAAACGAGGTGTCTTGGATCGGCGGATGACGATATTGCATTTTTTCTGCATATTCTGTCAATTTTAGTGATCATGTAGTTTTTTGCTGTTCATGAGCATGTTTTTTTGGCGAATACCTGCATATTCTACATATTTAAAACACGATATGGCATTTTTCTGCATATTATGCCATTGTTTATTGTTCATGGAAAGCTTTGTTTGCAATTTACATGCATCATATTCTGCATATTTGCAGTACATGGAAAAGACGGGACGGTCGAAAATGCGCCAAACATTTTGGAGTTTTAAGGGTTTCAGGATAGAATGCCGTGCCGGATTTTTTAAGGGATTTCAGGACTAAATAAATAGGGTTAGAATGCCCGTCCGGAATTTTCCCACGATATTCTCCACGATAATGAAATGTTGATTAAACAGGATGGTAACCTCCAAAAACGGCATTATACACAAACGATGTGGCATTTTTCCAATATTCTGTATATAGTGCATATATGCACATTTACAATCATGTACATACATTTGAGATGTGAGTAAACGAGGTGTTCTTGGATCGGCAGATGACGATATTGCATTTTTTCTGCATATTCTGTCAATTTTAGTGGTCATTTACTTTTTTGCTGATCTTGAGCATGTTTTTTGGCGAATACCTGCATATTCTACATATTTATAATACGATATTGAATTTGTCTGCATATTTCGACATTGTTTTATTGTTCATGGAAAGCTTTGTTTGAAATTTACATGCATATTCTGCATATTTGCAGTACCATATACATGGAAGACACGGGACGGTCGAAAAATGCATCAAACTTTTTGGATTTTTAGGGGTTTCAGGACTAAATAAATAGAGTTAGAATGCCGTCCCGGATTTTTTCTGGGGTTTCAGGACTAAATAGGATGGTAACCTCCAAAAACGGCATTATACACAAACGATGTGGCATTTTTCCAATATTCTGTATATAGTGCATATATGCACATTTACAATCATGTACATACATATTAGATGTGAGTAAACGAGGTGTTCTTGGATCGGCGGTTGACGATATTGTTTTTTTTTGCATATTTTGTTATGTTTTATTCATCATGGGTACATCCATTAGTTTTCATTGGTTTTTTATTTTTTTGACGATGGTTTTCAATAGTTTTCATTGTTTATATGGTACAACCGAAAGTTATAATGCCACCTTGGTGGAAAGACATGGATTTCAAGGAAAAAAAACACTGTACCGCGTGAGAAATCTGGGAGGCATTCTAACCTTATTTATTTAGTCCTGAAACCCCTAAAAAAAAAAGGGTACGGCATTCGGTGATTGTTCATTATTTTCAAGATGTTGTTCATTATTTTTCAGTGATTTTTCATTATTTTCAAGGTGTTCCATTATTTTTCATTGATTTTTTAATGTTGCTACATGTGTTTCATTATTTTTCATTGATTTTTCAGTGTTTTAGATATGTTTTTCATTATTTTTCATTATCTTTTGGGTAGATGTTTTGCAATTTACATGCATTTTCTGCATATTTGCAGCACCATATGCATGCACGGGACGGTCGAAAATGCGACAAGAATTTTGGAGTTTTAAGAGTTTCAGGACTAAATAAATAGGATTAGAATGCTTCAGGACTAAATAAATAGGGTTAGAATGCCTCCCGGATTTCTCACGCTGTACGTGGGTCTTTTCTTGAAATCCACTTGGGGCCACCAAAGCGGCATTGATTTTTTAATTACGTGTCATTGGTGTTTCATTATTTTGAAGATGTTGTTCATTAATTTTCAATGATTTTTTTTATTATGTTCAAGATGTTTTTAGTTATTTTTCATTGATTGTTCAATGTGTTTACATGTTCTTCATCATTTTTCATTAATTGTTCAATGTTTTAAAGATGTTTTTCATTATTTTTCATTGTATTGTTGGGTAGATTTCATGCATATTCTGCATATTTGTAGTACATGGAAGACACGGGACGGTCGAAAATTCGAAATTTTGGAGTTTTGGGGTCTTCAGGACTACATAAATAGGGTTAGAATTCCGTCCCGGATTTGTTTAGGGGTTTCAGGACTAAATAAATAGAGTTAGAATGCCTCCCGAATTTCTCACGCGGTACGCGTTTTTTTTTTTTGACGTCCACATCTTTCCACCAAAACGTCATTCTAACTTTCGGTCCGTCGGTATAGTATGTAATGTAATGTAATGTAATGTCATGTCATGTAATGTCATGTATGTACATATAGATATGTCTAATGATCCTTCTCCGGCCTTTCTGTAGAGTGCATGGCACCCATACGGTCAGGAGCAACGTGAACAGCTGGGTATCACATTACTGGAGGCCTTGAAGTCCAGTTCGCAGGATGAGAACTGCGCGCAGGTCCTTAGCAAAGCCCTGCAACATGCGCCACAGAAGGTGGGTGAACGGTGCGGTGAAAGCCACATTGTCTCTATATGTACATGCATCTGCATGTATGATTAATTATGATTGTGTACAGATATATCACATACAGGTGTATATATGTATATATATATATGTATATATGTATATATGTATATATGTATATATGTATATATATATATATGTATATGTATATATATACACAGTAATATGTATATATATATGTAATATATGTATGATATATGTAATTGGGTTAGAACCATGGCCGAAAAATGCGAACAGTACATACATAGGTGTGAATATTCCACATACAAGTGCGTGCGGGACCCAGTTGAGCCATGCCCGACATATCAATGCATTGGTTATAATGGGTTATGCTGCCTACCAACATGGGAACACTGTGAACCCCTATTCTAAATCAGCCAGTACAATGGGATTATATCGATAAAAAGGGCATTGCTCAATTAGTAGGTGGGAAACAACCCATATATACCACACATGCAAATGGAATATTCCATGTAGAACTGTTTTTTTTCAGACTCTTACCTCAAGTTGTGATTGGGCTTCTGGCATTTGGTCCTTGATATTGCTTGACGGCTGCGATTTATTCCTTTGGATTTCAAGGGGTGGGGTTGACATCTGCTATTACTGCAAAAATTGGTACACCCCCAAAATTATGCATCATTTCCGACTTGGGCCTCATATTCCATTAGAAGCCCACGAAAATCAGCTCTTTCATCACCATTTGTTTGTTGGTTGCATCCCCATTTCCACACAAATCATCCCATTAAAAACCTATTGAAAACCCATCGAAATCATGTTTGCTGGTTAAGCCATGGAGGTTAAGAACTCATCAAGCCACCATTTTTCTTGGTGTTCTTCCAGGAGACCTTGGCTACTGCCATGGTGCCGCACCTTCCCCAACTGGCGCGCGGTCGCCACTCGCACCACACCGTGCTGCCGGTGTTGCAACTGCTGCCGGAGGTGTGGAACTCGCGGGGTTCACTGGTGGTTCCGTGGGGTTTCAAGGCTGGTTTAACCATCAAAAATGCTGATTTTTAATGGAATTGACATGGGGTTTGCATGGGATGAACAAAAATAAGACCTTTAGCATTGACATGGGGTCTTATGAGGTTTCAAACCACTAAGAATTGAGGATATCATTGATACATGATGATTGTTTGATTATCAAAAGGAGGTTATGCTTTTCTCGCTCCTTGCCGGTGGTTCACCCTGTGGCTTTCTAAGTTTGCGGCTCAGTAGGGGATTTGTTGGTCGATTTTCCGAAGCCGCTTGGTGGTTGCAATTGAGCAGTGGCTGCGATCTAGCCCTGGCAGGGTTGATGATGTGGCTACCCTCTGGTAAACTAACATAACTATGGAAAATCATCATTTTTAATGGGAAAATCCACTATAAATGGTCATTTTCAATAGCTATGTTAAATTACCAGTGGCGAATAGAAGATCATCCAAAAACCATGACATTGGAGATCACTGGCTTCACCAAGGGGGATTCTCAAAGGACGCCAAGCAGTACTGGGGGACTATAGGGACTTGACTTTTTTTGGAAAAAGCGCCCCAGCCGGGATCACGGATCCAAGTGACGAAGACTGTGGCATCCCAAATCCAATGGTTTCTGATGATTTTCCACGAAAAACTTCCAGGATATCTTAGATGATATATACTCTCATAATTTCAAGCCTTCCATTTTTTCCCACTTTTCCATTCTTTTTCAACTTTTTCGACTTTTCCCACTAGTACTTCTACTACTGCTACAGCTACTGCTACTACTACTACTACTACTACCACTGTGACCGATAAGATATCCACATTCCTGTTGTTCTCGTTCATTACTATCGATTTTAGTAATGATCATCGATACTTCGCCCATGTGGCTCATCGGTCTTTGGTAGCGACTCTCAACCAGCAGCCGCAACACCAATCTTAACCATCCATTAATGGGGGTCACCCGACTGGGGAGGCTGAATCTCCACAATATTTACCATGGGTCGTCCTCAAGTGTCATCAATTTTTGTCAGTTGTCATCAATTATCAGTAGCATCAAGAACATTGGCAACCACATTATGCACCACATTGTGAACCACATTTCGGTCACATCATTAACACCTAATGAGCCATCGTACTCATCATTATCGCATCACCAATTTGCACATGGGTGCTCATTGCGTCATCCCAAATTTTCATGTTTCACATCCCATGAAAATCACGGAAGTGCCATGGATTTACAAATCCAACATCCAACCCGATTTAGCCAAGATTTTAGCCATATTTAGCCCACTTTAACCCTGGAATTTTCGCGGTCACTTCATGTAGCTTCCCTAGGCCGAGTTGAATCGGGCCATGACGCTACTCTCCCAAAAGGCCACCAAGCTCTGGGCTTCTCGCTATGGACGCCTTGTGGTGTCGCTTGGCGCCGGGAGATTTCATGGTGGGATTTTTCCGATGATTTTATGAAGATATGGAGATTTCATCGGAGATTTCATGGGAGATTGGGATTTCATGGAAATTTCATGGAAATTTCATGGAAATTTCATGGAGGTTTACTGGGTAAGACATCAGTTCTTCACATCCCCATTTGTGCCATGGATACCATGGCCATATCGGCCATGCTGGCGGCGGTTTGCGGGATACCACCTTTGAAAAAACTGGGGATTTATAGATTTTGTGGGATTATCATGGGATTCCAATGGCTATACTGGGTCTGTATAAAAAGGGGGTGATTTACCGCCAACTGATATGCAGCTATTGCTGGGTAACACGAGGTTCTACACTTCGAACTGATCATCCACAAAACAGATTGTTTGGGCTAGACAATGTCAAACTTTGTGGGATGGAAACAGAAGAGAGAACCAAGATGAAATGACCAACAAAAACATTTTTGCCTGAATGGGTAGCGAAAGGCTCTCGTTATACTTTGGGGGTTTCGGGGTAGAGACGCGTTCGCTCGAGGTGCGTTCGCAACCGTCCGCAACCGTCCGCAAGCGTTCACAACCCTTCGCAACTGTTCGCAATGAGGACGCTATGGCCGTGCCTATAGCAATTGTTGCAACAGTTGTCACTGTTGAAGGTTTGAAACGTTGCGTAACGTCGTTTCGTGTGACAGGCGTGGCACTTTGTGATGATAAAGCGCCGAAAGTCGTTTTTGACAGGCGCAATACTTTTGCGAGGTTTTCAAAAGGCAACTTTCATTTTTCGTGGCAGGCGCAGCACTTTGGACATGTCTGTGTTCATTTTGCGTGGCAGGCGCAGCACTTTAGACTTTAGACGTGTCGTGTTGCGTGTTTTTTGCGAATCGCATTGTCAGGGCTGCGTCAAGTCGTGACAATGTGCAAATTGCGTGGCAGGTGTGGGAGATTGTGAGAAATCTCTTGGGTGGCAGGCGCAGCATTTGGTGATGCTCGTCGTGCGTGGAATGTCATTCTTGGGTGGATCGGATAAGTGACATGGAGGTTTCCTAAATCACGCGGGGTACCCCAGTTATCATCCAAGTCTTGGATGTCCATTTAAGTATTGAAACCCCTGGTGACTTGGGGGATCCCATGACTTAAGAAACCACCAAATGTCTCCAAATGTGACTTTCCGGAGTCGTCAGTTCAGCAAGCGTTGATGGGCCATCAAAGCTTGCTGAACTAACCAATGATTGGTCACTATTGCGATGTCTCCATGCGTGGCACCCTTTAGGAAACAGCCACTTTTTGGATCAAGACATTGTACAATAATTCTGACCAAAAAATAGGATGGCTGGTGAAAATATGTATTATATATATATGTATATATATATTATATATTATGTATTATATATATTAGATCTATATATATATATTATATTATGTATACATGTATATATATATTATATGCATATTTGTACGTATATTTATGATAATATAATTCAATACGTATTCAATCATCATTCGCAGGACAATTTCTTTAGTTTTTGTCATTTTCGCCTTTCTGCTCAAGGATTTGTCTAGAAATAAGGTACCACCAATCCAACACTGGTTAGACACCTCATTTCACCTATTAGATGGCCATAACTTGCCGTCATTTCCGCTTCTATTCCCATGTAACTCGATTGAACCTCCGCATTTTTCGAGACTTCGCCAATGAAATACCATGAAATTCACCCTTTTTGCCGGTGAAGTCCCAGTTTCGTCTGGTTCAATGGCCATGAAATCGGCCCAGGAAAGCGATTCCAAGTCTCTACCTGCAGTGCTGCAGCCTCACTCGCCGGGAAGCAGCTGTCTCCAGCCGCAACTGAGGCTGAGTCCCAGCCCTGCGACCCTGCGACCCGACCAGGGACAGCTCTCAGGAATCCGGCAACTTCAGTGTTTTTTCTCCCCAGAATTCCTGGAAACCAGAATTGAATAGGCTGAGAATATTTTTGAAATCTGGGCTGAAGATAGTGAAAATAAATTTCAACCGGGATTGGTTGTGGCTATGGTTATGAATATGATCAAGTAATGAAGCAATCAATATTGTCATCAAGACAGGTAGGAAGTGATCGATTGCTAATATTTTGACAGGGTAAACCCGACTTCTTGGAGCCTCCTTTCTAGTAGCTCTTGTCATGTCTATCTATGCCGCATTTTACATAGGCAACCTGTGGATTGGTGGTGGGGCCTGCAGCTTGGGAGACATCTGTTTTGGAGGGGACCCTGTGACCTCGTTGTGTAGCAAAAGTGGAGCCTCCCACCCACCAAAAGATCGTTTCTGTGGCAAATGATATATTCTGGCTATTCAAAAAAGGCCAACATCGGGTTTTGCACGGCACAGCGGCTTCACTCTGGTCATCCAACATGGTTTTCTGGAAAATTGGACGCTCGATGATTTACCTCTTGAATTTTGTGATTCGAGAGGCTATGTACCGCTGTGATTTACCCATTGGTGCATCCCGTATTGGACCAAGCGATGTCACCTGCCTATGTTGTTCCAGGGTCACTGCCAGGCAGTCTCGTAGTGTCAACGATGAAAAAATCCTTGCGATTTCAAAAGGCCACACCATAGAGTACGGTGGGGCAAGCCTCATCAAGCTTCCCCCAAAAAAGATCCATGTTTTGTTGGAATGTTTAAGTGATTTAAGTGCCTAAAGAACTCGTATTCTTTTTGGGGTGTCATTTGTTAGGTCGCCGTTTTTTGAGACGAATCCATGGATCCAGATCCCTTTCGGGTTGCAACTCCCACGAATCTACCATAGGATTTTTAATAGGAGCTCTAGGATCGACACCAGCATTGTAATGTTATCCACCTCAGATATCTTCTCAATACGACTTTATGATGAAATCAAAAGCTGGTCATTGTGTAATCTCATCCATTTGTAGGAATCAATATTGCTAAAAATATCATTCCTAAAATAGGCAAGCATGCTTACCTTTTCCAAATTTCAAACAGGTATTCTTCAACTCCCATAAATGATGACATCTGCTATATTCGAAAGTAGTGAATTTCTCGGTGAAATACCTGACCTAAACCTCCACACGCCACCACAACCTGAACATTAAACGAAATTATTGAAGTTCGCAGCCCTAACAACATACTTTTGACCAACAAAAGGACTTTAACCAGAAAGTTCAATGGCTTCCATATCAGATAGGCTTCCAAAAGACATAAAAAAAACCGTACTGCGTCTATTTTCACTGCGAGAGCGCCCGGCAAATGCATATAATGCATACTGCGATTGCATTGCTGTTGTGGCGCTCGCAAAAGTGCGGGTCGGGTCACCCCTGGCGTCGAGTTTTCTCACTGGACCGCCGTGGGTAGGCCAGTTTTGTCGACAGCGGACGCGGCAGAGGTGAGATACACCTGCGTCGCGTCTGCACTTCCGGTTGTGTTTGAAAGTTTGAAAGCGAACAACAACTGAGTGGTCTTCCACTTTGGGGTGAACTCACTGGTTTTCCTGGATGTTAATGGTATATCTGGTATATCAATGGATTAGTCTCGTGCCGATTGCAAAAGCTGGAACTTGAGGCTTGGACATGCAAGGTAGAGATGCTTCTCCACTGCCGCGACCTACTTTTTTTTTCTTCCGGGTACGGCTCAGTTGTCAACTTGGCTGCCGTTAGTGGTTTGATCACCCAGTCGTTGTCATGTTGCCACCACGATCGGAAAGCCAAGACTCGACTCGCCAAGAAGTGTGTTGCCGAGTCCGGCCACCAGTATGACCTTCCCCAATCCCTTGTTCTGAAGAAACTTACTGGGGAAAAAGATGTCATGGTACCGAAGAAAAAAACCATGGGACTTTCGAATTCTGAAAAGTGACCGATTTTTGGGGACACATCGAAGTGACCATCTGGGGTTGGGACCCCAGGGCCCAAATTCAGCGACGGCGGTCCTATTTTTTTTCTTGGTCCTGGTGCTCTTACGAGCGCAGGCCTCATAGCCTCCGCGGTCCAATCCTGCCGATTTTGGGAATGCCGAATGGGGCGATTTTTTTGCACGGTGGAATTCGATGTAAAGGCCTTTGCCCAATAAGGCAGCGCTTTTTTTTTCGGAGCCAAACCCAAATCCACAGCTTTGACTTGGGGCCTGGTTGCCAGCTATGCAGCTTGTCTAGCTTTCCATCCCATTGCCGCGCCCAGCACCCCTTTCCCGGCGCCTGCATGGGGTTTGTCGGGATGCGCGGCAGTTTGGGTTACTTCCTCAGCTATGAATCGCCCGGACGCGATTCGTGGGGACAGCTCGAAATTTCCCTTTGTCCACAGGTGTTTTGATCTTTGATGGTATCCAAAACCTCGGGGCACACCCAAATCAGTGAATTCAGTGAATCTCAAGCAGGAAAGACAACGAAGTCATCCGGAAATCCTCGAAATGATAGGCTTTTTCGAGACATCCCCATCTATTCCAGTGGGTACCTGCTCGAGCGGTGCCCAAGCCGGACGGCGCAAAAAATTCCAGCTGGAGCGAAATATAGGGCCACAGGGCCTTAGGGATTAATTTCACCATGGACACAAGTATAGGATCTATATAGTCTAGTCTATAGTCTATATAGCACAAATATAATTATATATATATAATTATATATATAATATAATATATGTAAAACACACATATATAATACGGCATACATAATTATATATATATAATATACATAGTAATATATGTATATCCATATATACATATGTATATACACATATATATATATATATCTACGCACTCAGTTCACAGCCCCATTGGTTATATATATATACATGCACAGTATAGGTGGGGATTTCCTCTCTTTTCTTGGGACCCCTCAACTCACAGCCCAATCTCGGTGAAACCCACGACTTTCTGATGTCACGAGGTCAAAGTTTTCAGGGAGAAGCCATTGATCTGGTTATTTTGTGCAACCATATGTGACTATCTGAAGATTTGGTATCCCCAATTGGCAATGCAAAATCGGGTGATCATCGAATTGAGAATACCACACGAGACAAAGCCATATAGTCTGCCTGGGAGGAATTTGACGGCGGACTTGA